ATGGAAAGGGAACGCGGTTTCACTTTTCCCCACACTCGGATGCTTTATTTTATATCGTCAGCTAATTTCCAAAATGTTAACCATTTCGGCAGCCGTCGTCTGATTAGAAATTAAAAGGTCAGCGCGTAACGAAACGTTTCTGAAATTTAATTAATCGCGATTCGTAGCGGTACCACCGAAGGCGAATTGTTTAATTGAATATTTAGGGGATGTTAATTAACGCTTTTGGCAAACTCCACCATTCCGTCGTTTCATTTTTAAATTTCATCATTACGGCAATTTCTACCCAACGAATTTTCATCTCCTCCTTTTTAATTCACCTCGCGCTGAGTTCTCCAATGAATCAATCTCCGAACTCGTAAAATTTCACACCGTTAAATTTTCGAATTACTTTTTATCGACACTTCGACAAAGGATTTGACGTACGAATTAAACTCGGAACGTAGCTCGTTTTACGACCCGGATCGACGCGTGTTTCTCATTTGAAAACCTCGCTTCAGAGGTTTCGATCAAAGGATCGTTGAGTAAATGAAAATTTGTAAAAATTCCCGATGAAACTAGTCGATGAACTTTTCCGACAATTTCGAGAGAGTGAGTTGATTCCAGATTCTATCCGTACGCTCTCGACCTGCTGCTTTTATTTACTCATTTCCCTGTGCAATATTTAAATGATCCACGAGTCGAGTTTCGAGCACCTTCTTCGGATTCTCCCCTTTCTCTTCTGCTCAACTGCATCCTTCTGTTTTGCATATTCTTTTGCGCTCGAGACGCCCAGGGAACACTCGTCGGACGTTAAGCTGTCGACATAATTTTTTGGTCCTTCAATATTTCATGAGATCCATCTTGAAACTCTGCCTCTTCTTCCTACCAGAATGTCGTGAATCCTCGATTGATTAATCTTTCATTTCCATCGATGGATCATGAATTTTTTCTATATTAAAAAATTACTTGAAATTAGACTAATATATACATTTATTATACTATTAAAATATAGTATAATACGTTTGTTACATAATAAATGATAATTCTATTTAAAACGAAAAGTATTCGAGCTACGAAAGATAATTATATTTTATTATTAAAATTGTGGCTCTCTCCATGGTCCGCCGTCTCGGGGCGGGCTCTCTCCATGGTCCGCCGTTCGAGGGTTGAGAAACAGGTTATCCGTTACCCTACTTGCGACCTTATTTTCTAAAAGATTTGTCGTTTAAATATTACTGCAAGAATTGCAAAACAAGGTAAAGGATGTTGCAAACGTTACGGAAACATTCGCAGTCTAGTCATAGACGTCGCATAAATTTCTTTCGCAAGATTCATATGCAATGAATGATTCCGATTTTGAGTTTGCCATGCGCGTCGGTCGCGCAACAAATAAACCGAGGAGTCTTTTTTTAAAGCAAGGACAACGAGTAAAACAGCGTCTCGAAAAAATACATATAAAGATAAGGATGTCGTAAAAAGGAGGCATTGTTTTTCAACTGATTGCTCCTCGAGTTCTCGGACACGTTTCGGTGAACGAAAACTAGTAGATAGTTGATCAGATATTTCGTCTCTATTGTTGTTTCGTTATTTTTGGAAGAACTGCGCTGTTTACACTCTACGAAAATAACTTCTCTGTCAGAAGCACGAGTTCGCGTCGTACAACTTTGTTCGCGTTGAAAGGAAGTTGAGATTCCTCTTTTGCTTTTCAAACAGAAAACAAAAGGGGCGAGTGAAAAATCAGTTAAACGCATCGAACGGCACGACGGAGATAAACGATCTCCAGCGACGGATAATTGAAGGATAAAGAAGGAAATGGTTTTTCATTTGGAAATGAAACGACCGGGAGGCTGGTAAGCAAGAAAACGAATTCCAGCTTGCTGTTGTTTCCTCGAAATAGAATCGCACCGTGATTGTTGCCAAGCGTATCTCTGGAAGCATTCGCGTTTATTATTCGTCGGGCGTCAGATGGAAAATAAGAAGTATATCTCGAGATTCAGCCGCATTATCCGCGAGTCCTGCGAGAAAACTCGAATTCGCCCCGGAGGTGAAACCGACGACAAAAGAAGGAATCCGAGCTACGGTATAGGATTTTGATTCTTATTTTTCCAGTCGACTCGCTGGATAAACGGATTGATTCTTCGTTAATTTTCACGATCAAAAACCGTTCGATCGCTTCGTTTATTCATTTTTCCAATTTATTTCAAATATGTACATAATGGTTTTCCTTTCATACTTCTACGTTATTCAAAAAATTCTTCCTCGTATTACTATGTTCTTGTTGTCGAGCTTAAAATAAGTATTATCTCGGTAAATTCCGAGGGTACTGCTTTAATATCGGTTTTAATATCGTGGTTTAATATTAAGATTACAAGCAGGTAACAGAGATTCCATTTTCTGCTCTCTATGAAACTTCCTTCGTGGAACAATGGACTCGAATAGTAAATGAAAAATTCTGTAAACGTATAAACAGCTTTGAAAAACAAATTTGTAAACGTTTTCTTTCTACAGCTTAAGACTTCGCTGAAATGAAAGTGAGGCTCTTTCATTAACTCAAATGGTAAATTAGAAAATAGACGAGACAAATGGTGTTTGCATTTCTGTAACTATCTAGATAAATGGAGTTAGTAGTTTCAGCTTCTAATCCAATGGTTTCTAATTGCACGACGGAATCGCGTTTACCAAGGATCGTGTGTTCACCTTAATAATCGAAATTTCTAATTAGAAGGTAGCACGAAAGCCGAGCTTTTAACGTTATCGCACCGAATCGGCTCCAGCTTACAATTATCCATTGTATTTATATTTGCGAAAGCCATACGTGCGACCAGGTTGAACTCTGCAAGAATCCCGGATTCCTTTACTTTTATACCGAAAATCTGCTCGTTGTTAAATTTTATCTTTATCTTTCTCGATCCTCTATGGTCTCGTTTCTAAAATTTCATTACTTTTTTTTTTATTTCAATCACGTAGCCGTCGAAAAATTTGAAGAATCATCTTATTTCGAGGCAATATTTCAACTCGGCCACATAATTTATTATCTTTCGGAGAGAAATACCGTCTAGACAATGTGAAATATTCTCGATATTCGTGGTTATTTTAAATCCAATTTCCTTCTATCCCGTCGACTAGAATAACTTGCACTTGATTTCTGTCTTTAACATCTATCAAGACTAGAATCGTTCGATATCTGTTTAATTCATGAACTCATTCCCCGTATAATTTATTTCCATCCTTTGATTCCTGCCGATCGTTCGGCTGAGAATAGATATTCATTTGCCCCTTATAGATTAACAGTATCGTTTCTTGAATTATCCTTTCGATTATTCTTCTATCTTTAATCAAAAAACAATCGGGTTCGATCGTATCGCGTCGTAAATACAATTTGCGTTTGTCACGTTAAATTGTGACCGGGCATTGAAAGAGGTAATGGGTTAAACGGGTCATTCAGGCACCGTATGGTCGAGGGATAGGAAGGGAAAAGTATTTCTCGTAGTTTGGCCCAGGTACAGTAGCGAAGTCGTTCCGCTAACTGAGAGCGCAGTTTCCGCGAAATTGCTGCTGCTAATGTTACGAAAAAGAGATTGTTACTCGATTTACCGCCACTACCCTTAGCTCGTCCCTTCGTGCATGCTACGAAACGATTGGAAATCGGTGTCGTTTCGCTGAAATCTTTGATCTGAACGACTGGCGGGTCGCAGGCCTCTAACATAAGGAAACGAAACGTTGTAACTTTCCTCGGACGATACTGGAAGAACCACCGTTTCAGATTCTTCCTATTCTTCGACGATAATAAAGATAGCCGGGAGAAGCATCCTCTTATCGGGCTAAAAGAGTGCTTCTATAAAACTGGACTCATCTGATATAGCCTTGTTGTCTCTGTTCACGCGCGATTAAACTTTTAACCCTTTCACTTTCAGCGAATCGATCAATGAAACTTGATAAATAATTTATTTATCGTTTATAGACAGGTTTCAGTAATGATATTTTCATTATTATAAGATATTTGAGTAACCCTTTTCCGGTTTAAATGATTTAAATGATTCTGAAATAAATAAACGGTGGATGGATATAAAAATTTTATTGAATTTGCTTACATTATTATAGATATTTGATTAACGTTTATCTAATTTAAATAATTTGATAATCTTCAAATAAATAAACAGTGGATGGATATAAAAATTTTATTGAATTTGCTTACATTATTATAGATATTTGATTAACGTTTATCTAATTTAAATAATTTGATAATCTTAAAATAAATAAACAGTGGATGGATATAAAAATTTTATTGAATTTGCTTACATTATTATAGATATTTGATTAACGTTTTTCTAATTTAAATAATTGAATAATCCTAAAATAAATAAACGGTGGACGGGTATAAAAATTTTATTGAATTTGCTTGCAGTTATATACAGGCATATTTTCATTATTGTAGATATTTGAGTAACCTATTTCTAATTTAAATAATTCAACAATCCTAAAATAAATGAACGGTGGGTGGATATAAAAATAATAGCAGGTTTGCAGGCATTTTATCGAATTTGCCTGCAGGTGCATGCAGGTAGTTAGATGCAGTGGGTCAAGGTGCAGCCTTCAAGGGGATGCTCGAATGTGTGGGCGGGCGCAGTGGTTGAAAGAGGGAGGAGATATCAACTGTGAAATAGAGTGACGGTAATGGTGTGCTTCGTGTTGCGAGAGTGGCCATTACAGTTATCGCAAAAGTCGCGTCATAAAGGCAATGCTGTGAGAACGTTATAGAGGATACAGGGAGGGTGAGAGAAGGATAGCTCGTAAAGGCTTCGTTCCTTTCCTGTCTTTTACACCAGGAAACACCGTTGCATCCAGCGGAGCCGCGTAATTCAATATCTGAGGTGACTTTAATATCCAGAGAACGAAATCGGTTTATCTGAATATTCGCGACCAGGCTGCCTTGCCTTTAGAAGATTCCCCGTGAAACTTTGTTACTTCGCCGGCAATTCTAACTCTTTCTAACATTTTTCTTCTCCTTTATTTTCCAGACGGTGAATCGGTGAGATCGAAAGGCTGACAGTGTCGAGAAACCCCGAAACAACCCCCAAAAAATTGGAAACAATCGGTGAGTCAGTGATTCGAATCGAAGAGACTTTGTTCGCGATTCGCGAGCGACATTCCAAAATTCCGCGTCGTTTCGCGAGCGAGAGGAACTCTGGACGAGAGGAGATGTCCCACAAGTGGTTCCAGCGAGGAGACGACGCGTTCAAACCTCCGGATATTGGAAGATAGCGAGCCGAGATCGTTTCGACAGCCGCGGACGTCATCGAGTTGGACCGAAAACGATGAAGATTCGCGATTCAGAGCTCGAAGGAACGAAGGAAAGATCAAGCAGAGCCTGAGCGATCGCGTTCGGTCATCGAAGAACAATAAAAGGAGAACAGAATCCTCAGACAGGCCTAGATTCAAGTTTTTCAAAGATAGAAATAAAAGATCTTCGGAAAGCACCAAGGAACAGGAGGCTGTTGATATCCCCGACCCCAAAGAGGAAGCACCTCGCAGCAAATTACATAAAAGCGATTCCTTTCTCAGAAGACTTGTAAAGAACTCGAAGGATAATATCACAGAAGGTTGCGAGAGGCTGGTCAGAAATATTCAAAAAAGTCCTCAGGTTCTACGGAAGAAATTCTTGTCCAGTAGCAGCGACGAGGACAGACCTGTTCCTCCAGTCAGAAGAAAGAAATCCGGAAGCAGATCTCTGGAAATTGATCCAATTAAAAAGTCTTCCAAGGATTCTAAAGTTACAGAATCCTCCAACATCCGTATCTCTGTTATCGATCCAGAGGACGAATTCAAAGATCATTCACCTCAGATACAAAATAACAATCACCATCCTTTAGTCTCCTCTAATCAATCTCCCAAAAATCATAGAAGACCCTTTTTCATAGAAGACAACTACGATTCCTCCAAAAGTGTGTCCATAGAGGACGTGGAGGACCTGATCCGAATAGAAGACAACCTAAGACTGCTCGAAGAACGTGTCTTAATCAGAAGACGTTTGGAGAAGTCCACAAAGATCCTCCAGACTCTTCACCTTAGCCATCGAAGATCTTGGAGCGAGGAGAGTCTGAGTCCAGGTATCGAGCAGGTTCATCGGAAACTTTGGACGGCATTTCCTATCTGCGGAGTGTCCGCTGATTCAGTGGCGGTCGACTGCTCGCCGATCGCTCACAGACGATTCGTCCGTGTGGATAAATCAGTGGAGAGGAGAATCAGGAGAGAAAATTCAAGGTCGTCGGATAGGGACAAGGTAGATAACTGCGACAAGTGGTGGAAGGCTAAACGCTCGCCTCCGCCTGACGAGTGGCAGGTTCATAGGTCGTCGAGGCTCGAGCTGGGTGATAAGAAGCACGGGTCAGACGATAAGCAACGCGTCTCGGCTAGGAAGTCAGGGATACGCGGCGACGAGCTGCACGCGTCGACCGTCCGCGTAAAATGCAAACTTGCGAATTTCACGGATGCCCGCCAGCAACCGGGCGGGGACGAGGCAGAGAGCAGACACTCGGAGCCTACGAAGAGGACGAGTGAACAGCTAGTCAACTCGAACACTCGTCACCCCACGACGTCTGTCCACTGTTCCAGCGTCGAGATAGAATCTGCTCCGTTCTACACAGTGAAAGATGAACGAATCGACGATCACCTACCGGTATTCCCTGGGAGAAATAATTCTGACCTCGTGACCGTTCGTGTCAATCTGTCCAACCCTGGCGAAGATGTACCGAGGACCAACGTAGTGCTCGAACCCCAGTTATGTCATCATTTAAACGATCAGACTTCGGGAAAGTCTACGAATAAATTTCAAGTAAGATCAGTGCGTAAGAAAAAGGTGAAAGGTAAATATAGAAGCATTCAAGATTCCAACAGCTTGAAAATGAAATTCACCTTCAGGATGATTCGGATCCGCGATAAACTGATGTTATGCCTGAGCGCCTTCGCGATATTGTTCACTGTACTGTTAGTGATGGACCTTCAGATGGATCTGGGTTACAGTGGACATCATCTGGTCCCTAGCCACGGACGGGTTAGGGTCGGCGACGATCCGAACACGGACACGATTTATAACACGTTTCGACGGAAATTCTTGCAGCGTGCTAACGCTAGCAAGGAACAGACGAGCGGCGACGCGGTTGGCACCACTCAGAACAGCGGTAAGGTGTCCGGTAACGAAGCTAAAGAGTCGAGGACCGAGAAGAACCAGGTGCACGATAGTTTCTCGGATTTAGTGGACCTTGTGGTGAACGGTTACGGTGTCGGTGCGTACGAGGGTGTGGCCAGGATCAGCGGGGAGGATCATTCGTACAATCCTACCTTGGGGGAACTGAGGAAAGTCGGCCCAAAGTGAGTCATTTATTTTTCTTTCTTGAGATTATTTCTCGATATTTTTCTATGTTTTCTGGGTATCTTACAAGGGACATTACAAAATAATGAAACAAATAAGGAACAAAATATTTGACACGTATTTTTTTTATCGGCAATCGTCCATGCTAAAGGGGTGAAAATAGCCCTCAAATTGGGGTTGCAAAATATATTTTCTTGAATATCTTAGGAACTATTAGGTGTAGGCGAAAAATTCAAAATGGAATTTGTGTGTTTTTGAACAGTAAATTTTTCTATGTTGCCACCGTTTTGATAAATTTATTTGTTTAAAAAATATATTGAAAAATAATCTACTTTTGTCATTTTTTTCACCCCTTCAGCAGGTCAAATATTTTTTCAGTTCTATATCATACTCAAAGGGCATCAAAATCGGCGTGTGTCGATTGGATAATGTCCCTTGTTAGAATTACACAGAATCGCGTTTCAGTAAGTGGGTCAACGGTTGTATCTATTGATACTCGAATTATCTTGAAGAAGGTAAACAGAGTGAAACGTTTCTCAATGTATACGATTCGGATCGTTTTCATTTTCACGATCACAGTTGGAGATTTAATTATTATGGACAATGGGTTTGAACGCATTCGTAGACTAGAAATGATATTCCTTTATCTAGTTCGATAACGACGATCAGAGGCGAGGTTACGTGAAAATTTTCCGTTGTTATCGCGGGTAACCGGTGAAAATATCCGTCCCCGTTTCTGCGTAAGATAAGGCAGCTTTTCAGCGGCTGGAACGCGACACCTAATTAACCGGAACAACGTCGAAAGTAACAAGTTTAAATCTCCCCGTTGTCGGGCATCGAAATCTCCTAAACCGATTTCACGAACTTTCGACGGAAGCTCGTTGTTTTTTTTCGCCCCCCGCCTCGTTCGCTCGGTTGGAAAAGTTTCGTTTTGGTCGAACGAAAAGCCCCCCGGGGAAAAAGCAATCAGTTGAAACAAGGAAAATCGGTTTGACTTCGAACGGTCCGAGTTTTTACGGAAAATCTGCATCCTAAGTTGGGATATAATTTTTCCATTAAAATCTTGAATTTTTTATTTCGTTTTCTTGATTCAACTGGCAAGATTTCGCGAGTTTCGTATCGTAAGGTCACGAAAGTGTTAACAGCGATAACTTGGAACGTTTTCTTTGAAACAATTTGTGTCAAAGTAGAGCAAGGCGCATCTTCGATTCAGAGGAATCAAGAAACACTTTCGTAACAAACTGATAAGAAGCGCAATATCTGACGCAGGAATGTTATTTTCTGCTCTGCTATTCTTCTTATCTGAAGAATTAGCGAATGTAGAACGAAATCCAATTCCAGAATAAAATTCGCGATAATTTTCCAAGTTCCATAATTTTATTTTTATATCGCCTAGATTTTTTACCAAGCTCGATTCGTTAAGTCTTCGAACGCTAATTCACCGTGTTTAAGCAATTTTATTGTCCGGCAAGCAAATATCAGTCACGTTGCGCGAGCCTCGATACACAACCGCTTGTATTAGGATCCACTTGCCAACCGTGTCCATGTGTTGTGTATTCTCTCACATATCCATACCGTGCTGTGCGAGCAGCTTGTCCAACGGCAAATGTAATTATTCACGGCTGTGTTTGCATGGATGGGTTCCCATCGACCATAGATCGACGTCGAATCCTTTTCACTCGCCGTAGAAAAAACATTCGCTTGATTTCCTTCGATTCTTCCTAAAACGTACGATTTCTTGTAGAGAAGTTTCCAATGACAGCAGAGAAAGGTTCGCTAATTTATTATTAATTATCGCGGAGTTAAAAATTAACGATGATCGCGAGTTAATTTCTGAACGCGTTCTCATCGACTACTGGTTGAACGTTGCTTTCATCGCGTGAATCTTTTTCCATTCGATAGGAAATACCAGCCATTCACGTGCCAGTGATTTCCGTGCCGATTTTCCTCTCTTTTTCTCCTCCTCCCTCGCTTTACCCCTCTTTTCATCGGGACCTAATTCGTCCCGGTCCGAAGCACGTGTAATTGTCGTGGACAATGAACGCATAGCCAATCGACGATTCGGACCGCATTGAATCGTTATAATCTGGAAAGGTTCGATCAAATTAGGCCGTCGTCTGTTGATTGAATTCCTGAATAGTACATCGTTTCTTTTCACTTTGCTCAATTTTCGAATTAATTTCACGCGTCGACTACCGTACGAATCATCGGTGGCTGCGAAACAGGAAATTGATCCAACGCTATTTCGTAACATAAAAATAATCGAAAATAGGATTTATGCTAGAGTTACGTGTCCATTTGTAACCCCTATACAATCATTGACCCTTTTCCTAAAAGTGTAAGAAAGATAATGCAATGAATTTTTCAATCCGCGAACGGCGGACCAGGGAGAGAGACCGCGCCAATATGGCGGACCGCGGAGAGAGCCACAACTTTAATCATTTTCATTTTCTAAATTTTACACTGTCTCTTCAAAAATTATTCTTTTATTATAAAGAACTCTTTTTTTACCCTATACTCATTTGATAATAACCAGAATTCGTGCATGAATAATTCCCTACTGGTCTCTAAGGTGAAACTGAAAAAGTTGCAACGATAGACCGGTTGCATCGAGACCCGGGCGGAGTGCATTTTTCATTGCATTTCCCCGATCCTCGGGAACGGAAGGAGCAAAGGGTAAGCGAGCTGCTCGTATTATCGAGCGTCTGGCAAGGAAAACAAGGACTAGCATTTCCCCGAAGGTTGTGCAAGCTATAAGCTCGCTCGTAAGCCCCGGCTCTTCGTTCTCACTAGATAGACAGCTCTAGTGACCCTGGTATCTAGGGAATAAACAGCATTGTTTCCCGCTGCACAAGCCTCGACAATACCTTAATGTCGCCGTTCAGGGTTTCACTTTGAATAGACGGGCACGCGTTCTGGGTGTAGCAACGAAACGTACCGTTTATAGGCGAACTAACAGCAAATATACCTCGAATATAGAACAGAGATCAATTCGATATTCACCGGTGCGATAATTTCTAAAAACTTTGAGAAAATCAAACAGCTGCTACTTAATAACGCTGACCAGACGAATAACAAAGAGAGATATTTCACCAGGTACGAAGGGAACGTTAATTAACTTCCTGAATCGAGCGTGCGATTACTCTTCGTCGAGGAAAATCAAGTTTTCATGGTCGACCGTGTAAACATCCTCCCTCGAGCGTATTCTTACGGTAGAAATTAGTCGTCGCAAATTACCGTTATGAATGTACACATTATTATTCGTGTGTATATGTGTGATACCTGGTAACCAACAGAGCTCACTGCGCGTGTACACACCTGAGATTGCACGCCAGCGGGTGTGTGCGTGTACTGGCGAGAACAAACACCGTGTGCATCATCGTCGAACGGGTTAACGCGTGTATTGTATCGATTGATCGACGGAATTTTCAAGGCAGTGCAAACGTCGCCTCGGTGACTTCAGAAACGTACAAAGCCCGTGGAATCTCTGAGCCGAGGATGACAAAGGTATTCGAACCGGGAAGCTTTGTTTGTCCGGAAATAATTCATCGTCTCGTAACTCGGCCGAGCGACGGCAGGTGAATTTCAGGTGAACACAGGAAGTAAGCTTCGGTCTACGAGCTTACAGGATCCTCTATTGATAGTCCCGTCGCACTGGGAAACTTCCTATTAATAGGGAAACTTTTTCAATGCATCCTCGGACGAGGAATATCCGTGGTTCTTCAAGAAAATTCAACGGAATCGTGAAATAAATGAAATTGTAGAATTAAAAATAAAGATTCTTTTCTTCCTAAATCGGGATTGAAATAAATTGAAAATGTCATCAGGTCGAAGGAAAGTTGTGTAATTATCAGAAGCTAGATAGATTGAATTGAAAAGCTGGATTTTCCGGGTTTACCGGAAATACTGGTAGAACGTTCGACCCGTATCGAAATGGATCTCGTTTCGAATCGATCTTTATCCAACGTCCCAAAGTTGACTGGTTCGTTATTTACACCGGTGACAGACGTATCTGAAAATTTACTGCCCCCGAAAGTTACTTTCATAATGGCTCTCCCAGAAAAATCGTAGACGCGATAGCGAAGAAGAAGGTGGATAAATCGATCATAGAAGTAGAAGCGGAAATTGAACGAGGGAATTTTTAGATTAGATAGCAGCCGAAAAATATCCTACACAAAAGTCTTCCTTGGCGAACGAAGCCATAATATTGATGTCTCTGATACGTTAAATAATAATTAATTCAATAATTCAGTTAAATAATACATGTGCCGTATTAGATACGGCTATTTCTGTCCAGGCGATCAACAATTAAAAAGAATTTAGCGTGAGAATCTTTTTTTAAATTAGAAGAACGGAATATTGTGATTGTCACATTAAATAATAATTAATTCAATAATTCAGTTAAATAATACATGTGCCGTATTAGATACGGCTATTTCTGTCCAGGCGATCAACAATTAAAAAGAATTTAGCGTGAGAATCTTTTTTTAAATTACAAGAACGGAAAATTTTGATTGACACGCTAAATTCTTTTAAATTGTTGATCTGGGCAGAAATAGTCGTAGGTATCTAATACGGCACACAATCTGAATTATTAACGCGTTAACTGTCACGGTGCAAATGGATTTATTAAAATGGAATTATTAAGGATGCGATCGATTAATTTTCGGATTTTACCTATCAGTTTGGTATCCAATTATATCGTCAATTATTAACGATCCACGCGGTATTTAACGTATCAGAGACATCAAGAATTCATTTTCTAATCCGATCCTTCGATTCGCTGTCCAGAATAACCGACAATCAATTTTTTAATCAAAATTCCCAACACGAGTACGATAAAGAGAAAAACAGTTTCAGGGTATAACAATTTTTATTTCATTCCTCGACACCCTGTTCGTGATTCGCGTTTGTTACACTTGAACTGGTAACCCGTATCGCTGGTGTGACAGGAAGTTACCAAGGCAAAGGGAATAATTTTTCAAATCTCCGCTCGTCG